TCTAACTGATCTAGAACACATCTGAGGTCTGGGATTTAAGAGTAACTACCTAATTACTATTGTATCATTTTGACACCTTTGTCACAGTAAGACACATCAGAAGATTCTTCATAGAAATAGTCAACACCACTGGACAGAAGAAGGTAAAAATAAAAGATGTAAAGAGAACTGATAAACACATAGAAAGGCAAAATATGCGTAGGCAAATACTCCATAACTTATTGTGACAAAAGATTGTTGCACCTTTAATATGTAGTGTTGCACTATTCCGATTACTGGTCTCTAGGCACCCTGTTTCTCTATTTTTTGTTTCAGATTACATCGTCTCAGTTTGGAAGCCTAATCTGACTACAACATGGACTACAGCTATCTGTTCATATGACATTGTAGTGAAGCCTAAATGAAAATCCAGCTTGGGGTATTCCTCCCTCAGAGCGTGAAAGAAATGAAGAAGATTGTGCAGAGGTCTCTCTTGCCAAGAGGTTCGTTTGGAATAAGGTGCTGGACTGAGTCACTATTAATATAAAGAGTTTCCTCCCGAAGTGGCCCTCACTCAGATTTCAGTCATGTATCTGAAGTCAAATTTTGTGTTCATAGCCTGCAGCAGAAGATACTGTAAGGGTTTGGTTTGCAACAGAGTGAAAGAAGCCCTTCACTTTCCACTTAAAGTGTAACCAACAGATTCTGTTCTCACTTTAGGAAACAGAAAGCTCAGTACTCATAACAGAGCCCAACAGCCTTCACCTGATGTAGCGTACAACTGGAGGGCTCAACACTAGTCTCATGTAAATACTGATATGGACTATTTTAAGTACATTTATGCATATTATATGTAACTAGTTTGTCAATTCCTAAAGTTTACACAATGTTTATATGGATATGCACATGGATTTAGACAATCTAAAAATGTCTAAAACCAAAACCAGGCCTAAGTCACCGGACACACAGCTAATGCACAAAAGATCATAAAGTGGCAAAATTTGCTTTTGCACATTTGTATATACCTCAAGTGAGCAAAATTGTGTTTTAAATATTTAATGGGATGAAAATTGATACAGTTGATGGTTAAGTTTTGAAAAAACATACAAAAACCTCATCTCAAAACAAGTTTTTAAGAAATTAATTTTTTTTTTTCATTTAGTTTTGACCATAACAAGCAACTGTTCCAATATTTCCAGTCATAACATTGCAGGGTGACTTTGTGGATGCCTGCACTTCATGGTGTTTGCAAAATGCCTAGGTTAAGACAGTAAACACATCAAAAATCCAGGCAGATGTAACATAGAGCAGCTGCAACCTGGGTCACAAGCAAGTAGATCCTCTGTCAAGCTCTGCATGTCGGGTTAGCTCCCCTCAGGAACTCTGTGGCAAACCCTCCTGGCCACTGACAGGACAAGTTCTTACCAGAAACTTCTTCCCAGCCAGCTTTTCTACCAGGACTGTGAAGAAGATCAAGCCCGACAGAGCAAACTAGCTTAGATCCAGACAAATCTGATAATCTAATGAGAGTAGGGTCGATTAATGAGAGTATCTGCTTAGATACTTATTCAGCACAGCAATTAAATACTTGTTTAAGTACTTATAGTCAATGGATTTAACAGGAAATTTAAAAATACTCCCAAGTGCTGTTCAGATTATTACTGGACCTAAATAAATACATAAGGGCTAATCATGTAGTGAAATACTGTGATGAATCAGCACAGAATCAATGTATTTTTTTTTTTATACATAGAGTCTGCATCATATTCAAATCCTTATTTATTTCCATCTGTTTTTCTAACACTGATCACTTTTCAACATAAGTGGCAACATTTCCAAATTTTCATTGAAAATGAAAAATTCTCAAACCTGACTTCAGAGTTCAATGAGAATTACAAAGTGAAAGACTTAAGGGTAAGGGAAATGAAAGCCTAAATTAGTGTAACTTGTGCTTTTAAATTTATCATTCCGGGCCAACTTATAAAGTTGAGCATGTGAAAGTTTACATGTAAGCAACAGTGACACATTTGCAGGCAAACATGAGGACACATTTGACCACGGATTTAAACAAATTGTTTACAATTTGCTTGCAAAACTTCTGAGACACAAATCCAGACTTAGTTAAAGTTACTTTTGATATGAATATGACAGGAGGTGAGGATCCCATAAAGGTCTCCTCTGCATCAGAGGACATTTTACCACTAACCAAATCAATGCCATCAAAAGAGGCCCAACTACCTACTGTGCATCCTGTCATACAAGCATAGCATTTATATTCATATTACTTATTCCCATAAGGGAAACAGAACAAGTTATTTAAGTGTAAAATTCTTCTAATAAATAATATACTATACTGGAAAAACTCATACCACAAGCCAGTGTAGAGCGGGGAATATACGAAGATCTCTTTGTAAAGTCTTTTCGCTAAAGCATGATTTGTTATCAAGAGCATATTGAAATGCATACCGCTATTTTTACATGGTAATATACTTTAAAATGTCACCTATTACTGAAATCTTGTCTACATGTCAACTTAAGGAATGGCCACAGAAGAGTAAGTTTCCTGAATAAGAAGGGCATATCTGTAACTGTAAAGCTAGCAAAGCCTTCCCAATTACAACAGTAGTAGGCACCACTGAAAGTATTATTTAAATATATAATATATATCTCTCTCATTAATACAGAATCATAAAGGTTAAAAAAAAGGTTAAGCAAGCAAATAGTTACTATCAGGGTGACTACATTTACTAACTAACATTAACTCATTAAGTGCCTGAATGAGTTGTTCACAATAGGCAAATATCTGCAAAGCACCATAAAATCATGAATGATATGTTGTATTTACTTTTCATAGTGTGCTGATCTGCAATACAGAAAACGCTTTTACTTTTTGGATATACATTAGTTAATAAGTGAAAGAATACTTAAACCCATGTTTCCTTCATGCCCAAAACATTTCTAGGAAATTTACTTTTTACTATTTTTCTCAGCAAAAACAATAATAAATCACCACCATCCTTTCAAATTCAGTATTACAAAATGATGTGTGTAAAGCCTAAAAATTATCTAAAGCATCGGGGCTGGCTGCTCTTGACTTTCTGACTGAATGGATAAAAAAGATCCAGTGCGATAGCAAGGCAGAAAACTAGTGAAGCAGAGGGAAAGCAACAACAAAACCCCAGTTTGACTAAAATCAGAGTGCTGCCATTAAACCAAAAAAAACCCTCTTTCCGTAGTCCCCAAGAGAATTCATTTGCATGAACAGCAGATTTTGGTTCAAAGTACTTTTATATTCTGCAATGACATTTAAAGGGCAAATTCTAGAACCCTACACTTAAAAATAATTTCTGTGCAGAACTAATTGTCATCATTTTCTTGTAACTATTCAACGGGTTCAAATCATGATGAAAAAAGTATTGTATTGCACGCGGACACCAGTCACATCCAATTTTGAAATCCGTATCTTGCCACTTGTGCCCAATAAAACCTGTACATATTTTCTTAGCTGTTTCAACTTCCCCATCTACAAAAGTTCTGAACAAAACTGTACCTGTGAATTCACTCACACTGAAGTACCAGTCTTCACTATCCTAAACACGCTTATTTTCTGGGAGTGCTTACAACTGTTTTCATATTTCATAATGAAGAACTAGTAAGCCTCCATCGCACATATGGGCACACATGCCAAAACAAGGAAAGAAGAGTACCACAACTTTAATGGGAAAAATGGCACATTAGATGTTGTGCTGACATACAAAAAGCACTTGTTTGGGTAGATATGTAGACTGCACCGACAGCAACAATTACTGAAAGAATCAACCCTAATTCTACTCACCCATCCAGAAACGTGCAATTCTAATTTGTTATTTTATGTAAGCGTCCCTTCAAGAACTGAAAGTGGAAAAATGTCTTTCCTGATTCTGTATCTACTACAGATAATCAAATACAAAGAAACTAGTGTGCCCTTACTTACAAACAACAGAAAAAAACAAAATGCCATTTCAGAGAGGCACGAGACAACCACAATCCCTTGGAGGGGGAGATTTACTTGGGTAATCAAAGAAAGGATTTAGAAGTCAGATTATTTTAAGGATAATACAGCTGTCACTGAAACAACAAACATCCCTACTCATCTAAACAGACTCATCCACTCATTTCATATTTAGTTCCCCCCTTCCAACTGTGTAGGTTAATTAGTGCTAATCTCCATATATGGAAAATTTATGTCATCCTCCTGGAGTCTTAGGCAAGGAGCCAAAGGCCAGACATGAACTGTCACAGCAAGGGAACAACTCTGACCTGACTCAGAATCTGTAAGCCAGAAGTACGGTGACTACTTTTGCACGGTAGTATCCCCAAAGCTGAGGACTATCATGGCACTTCTGGTACTAAGAATATTCACCCCACTAGTGCCAGATATTTGATCAAAAATTTAAGGTTCAAAATATTATGATGAAGTTTTAGTCATTCATTTGTAGGTTATTAATCAACAAGCTGCATTATTTTTCTCCGGTAGTATTTTGTGTCAGTTTTAAAGCTAAAAAAACCCCCATGTGGATAAATGGTTTGTGTTTACTTAAAATTATATGAAAATACAGAATATAAGCAATTAAAATGTAGCCCTTTAACAATAGTACTCCAGCAGGGACCACCATCACAATAAATAGTCTGGAATAGATAGAACCACTGCATTGTTCCCTTGACACACTTCCGTAACTCAGTCAGTCAGATATTCTGAAGGATTTCTTTCTTTCATTATGTTACCCAGAATTTGATGTGAACTTTGCATCTAAAATTCTAATCTAAAGAAAAAGCTTTTCCTCAAATTCATATACTACTTTGGATAAAGGGCCATCTGTTACCAAGCACACAGAAATTGGTTACAATAGTAATTTCACATTTGACTACCTGTGCACTACAGCTCAAGGTAATTTTGCTATTTTTATACTGAAAGTATCATCAACTAACTACTGTATGCCTGAAAATTTAAAACAACTTTGAGTATTAAAAATCATTTTTTATAAAACAGTTCTATTCTAGAACAAGTATTTCTGGTATTTAAGGGTAAAAAACACACTTTCATTGAAATCTTAGTGCTTGCATGTTTTCTTCTGTGTCCTATGGCTGCCTCTCCTTCTCTAGCTGCAAAGCCCACTTAGCAGTGCTTTTTTTTTAAATTTGTTTTAGGTACTTTAAAGTAAAAGAAACCTAGATTAGAGCTATCAAGCCCTGGAAAAGGTGAACCTTCAGGTGTTTTATTTCTTTTTAAATCCATTCAGAAGGGCTATGTGTAATTATACTCTTTATCAAAGAAACCTAGCTATAATTTGGCATCAGTAATGTTTACAGTTCCATAATGTACTGTAATAGTTTGAGATACTTTAAGAAAACCCTCCAAATACTGAGATGCTTATTGCAATTCCCTTTTAAAGATTCAAAAGCCTTCTAATGACTTTGCGTTTCCTATTTTTATCTTCTTTATAGCATATGGTATTATATAATTGAAATATGCTTTCCATATAAAACCAAACTTGAAAATACCCACTTAGAAATAATATTTCAGTAAATAGAGGGTTTAAGGCAAGTCATTAATTTGGAAAAATTCATTTCCATTTGTTAATCCTAGATTGACACAATTTTATTCCACCCCATCAGTGCCTTGGGATATACAACGTACATTCAGCAAAGGGCACACATATGACCCTATGGACATACGTTGCAAGTCCTGAGTGCCCATTGAAATAATGGTAATATCTTCATATAAGGCGTGACCCACAGGGACATGGCATGGGAGGGGTTAATTTGTTTTGTTTCCAGTCTTGCTATTGTATGTGATTTTCCTAGGTAATGCATTCTTTTCTTACTAAACATCTTTGCAAACAAATACAAACCCCTTTAAAAGGTGCTAAAAATGGGTTTCTGAAAACATACAAAATATATTCATCATAGTATTTCCTCAATCACTGTTTTAATGCTTGATATCTGCAGGTTATTTCTTCTTTCTGACTGAAACTATTATTTGTTGTGGAATAACTGTTCTTTTGCAAAAGATTTTCTTCTTCTAGTTTTTTGGACCACATGGGCTGGATGCTTTCATGCTTTTTACTTCCTTTTTGAGTTCTTTTCAATGGAAATACCAACAACACCAGGATGCTGGCAATATGAAGACAGAAATAGCAGGAGCTAAAAAACAAACAAAAATAATAATTCAATAAAACTCTGACCACTCTTACAGGATGCTTAAGGAATAAACTGTCAAAACCTACTTGCATACAGTACTTTGCACATAAGACATTTAAGTCAGGAAAACATTAATATTTCCTTTTTAAAAAAAAGTATTAAGGGGGAAATCAGAAATTAATTCTTCCCCCAGTATTCAGTGCTATAACAGAGACATCAAGTGAAGTCTGCTTTGAACTATTTACTTTTTCACAAAAGTTACTTTTAGGAGTCATTATCTAGTCTTACTATAAAACAGTTCAAGTGTATATAGTAATCTCAGAGGTACCCTTTGGTTTTGTTTTTGGTTTACTTGGTTTTGTTTTTCTCCAGTCCTAGAAAAAAGTAAGTCTATTATGAGAGAAAAACAAGACCACTTTATGATTTCTCATACAGAACACAAACTATGATCATTAGAATAGAAATACAATTTGCTCAGCTAACAATTCAATCTTACAATTATCACTAAAATAGCTTCAGAAATCTTGTGCCACAGAAAATACTTCTATTTTGAGTTAAAGAAAAAAAAAAAAGGAAGCAGGTAGAATGTGCTTACCTGTAAAAGGTGAAAGAGGGTTTTACAGAGAGCAGTACAAATGGCACAACTGTGTAACTTATTGCTACTTGAGTTGCCATCCATGTTATAATATCGTAACATAGTTTAACAGCAGGAGATTCAACAAAATAGTGTCTGATATTGTTTCTTATCTGAAAAAGCAGATAATAGTAAGTTAGATTAGGAATAAACTTTGAAAGCTATCTTACTGTACAGGGTTTGTTGCACCTCTGCAGAATTCATAGGATGAATTGAAATGCTATGGTTTGGTCAAGTATCTTTGAACCATTCAAAACACCCATCAGCTTCAATAGGAATCAGTTCAAATTCCCTGCCTTTTAGGCTAGTGCCCTTCATCCAGCAATTTAAATATTCATGAATTTATGTAGAATTTAAGTAAATGAATCCCCCCCTAAATCAAATGTCACTTTGGACTACTTGTCTGAATGAGGGAGACATTCTATTCTATCAATATCTGTAAATATTGAGTTTTGGAGTAAATGAAAGCCAGAATACTTCTGATAAAAGCTTCTATTATGGAAAGCCATTTTCATATACTTGCTAGTAAGATATATTTTAGGACAAGTAGAGTATAAAACAGAACGTACAAAATATCAGTTGCAATGACTTACTTCCGGAGTCTTAATAACAACTACTATCAAGTGGCACTATTATAAAAGGACTTAATTTCCTATACTGTTATAAAAGGACTTAATTTCCTACTTCTTTTGTTTGTAAAATTCTGTTCAAACAACGGAGTACCAGAGCTATTTCAAAAAATCCAAAACCCACACAGGTTTGGGTTCAGTTTTATTTAAGTGTACAATTAAAAAGATATCAGTAGATGTTGGCCCGTCCTTCGACTGAACTGTCATCCTTGCTCACATTCTTATTTTCTGACAAGCCAAGATGGGCTCAACTCAGCCTTTGTGCAGCTTGGTATCACAGCTGCCACCTTCAAACCATCTGCACTGAGGAAGTCCTCTCTCACCAGCTGCACACCAACACACAGTTTAGCCTCTTCATCCTTCAACTCCTGGTTCTAAAGAACATACGGAAGGCTGGCTCATGCTGATTTCATTCTTTACATTAAAAACCTTTTTTACCCTCATTGTCCTTCTTAGCCAAATTCCCCTGCAGGTATCACATTCCCACTCAGCCTTTGTTTACTTAAGCTAAATAAAACAAGCCATTCTAGCCCCATACTCTTCATCTTGCCACCTGCTATCTCCCCCCCCCGTTTTCTCCTATGGTCGCGTGCAATGACTTGTTCCTGAGTTCTGTAAAACTTGGATGAAGTTTCACAAAATTTTTTTTCCTTGTAAAAAAAAATTAATATTTTAGGACTTGAAGGACAACTTTTAAGATAAATGTATAACTGCCCCTAGTAAAGACCCAATTATGAAATGCATAATAATTAAAGGGAGCAAAACTAGTTGAATACATGCTTAGGCATGACAGAAGAATGTGGATCAGAGCTGCCAAGCTTTGCAGTTAATAAAGCCTAGTAGAGTTAAATAATAAACATGCTGAAGTACCTCTAACACATCTATCAGTTAATATAGTATCAGTACTTGTTAAGACAGAAACTCAAAATATTTTTGTTTAAAAGCCTATTGATTAATACCTATGAAATGTGAATACAATGCAGCTTACTAGCAAAGCCCAGGACAAAGTACAGTGAGCACTCAGATTTACTGGACTCATCTTACTGAGAGAACACAACAACTTTTGCCTGTGAACTGTCCCTGAACCTTGGCTTTTGCACCAGCCCCTGACTGATAAATGTCAAAAGTTCACTGCAATGGAGGCTGGAAAGAAGGCAGCTATACTTATTGTAAAGAAAGGAGTCAATTCTGTCACACAAGGACTATACCCACACCTCTGTGAAGCAAGAGGAGGAGCCTGTGTTTTATTACTGTTAGTAACAATCTAAGTCTGAAGTACCACCTTCCCCTAGCTATTATGGCAACAAAGAGAAGCCTGCTTCATTTCTCATTCTCCTGGTTCTTTTG